TAGTTGCTAATGGCTAAAGTCAATGGTTAGCAGCTGGATGTGGGACAAGATGGTACCAGACACTCTGTGATCAAAGCTTCTATGCTCTCTGGAAAAGTCTGAAATTTGATTCAAATACTTTTTTCAGGTCTGGAATTGAAAGATTAAACACAGCATAGAAAATATCCATTACTTTTTATCCTCAGTTTGTGTCTTCAATCCTCCCATTTGTTTTTCAAATTGGTTGCTGCGTCTTTCTTTCCCTCCTTTCTTCTTCCCTTCATTGCTTCCATAGTTCCCTTATTGCATCCATCCTGTGTGTGTGTGTGTGGGTGTGTGTGTGTGTGTGTGGGTGTGGGTGTGGGTGTGTGTGTGTGTGTTGGGGGGGTGGGGGTGCATGGTTGTTTGTCCTGTCTGTCTCTGTGTTGCCCTGCGACAGGCTGGTGACCTGTCCAGGGTGAACCCCGCCTCTGGCCCGTTACGTTCTCTGGAGATAGACACCAGCATCCCAGGGGACAAGGTTGTACAGAAAATGGATGGATGTTGAAACCTTTGTCAAATTTAGGCTTGAAGAGTATCATATATTCTTGGTATTATGTTTACAGGAACATTTAAAACAGAGCAGAAAATAAAACGACAAATATTTTTTCTGCTGCTGCAGCAACTTAGTGAGCAGGATGAGGTTTACTTCTCTCTACACTCTGAGATTAACAACCTTATGTTAGCAGGTTAAATTGATGAGTAAACTGATTTGGTTGCAAGCCTGCAGTTAATTGTGTAGCACATTTTACTTTGAGCTTACAGGGTGTGGTGCTACTTTAATAAGACCAATGGATAGCACTCCTTTTTCTCCCATATCATGACCGTCTTAATGATTGAAAACATTTCCAAACAAAACCTGGATTTGTCGTAGGTGAGGGAAAATTTAAGGGATCTTCTTTTAGTAATTTCCTTCAACAAACGGGAGGAAGTGAGTGTTCCTCTACTTTTAGGGAAAGCTCCGGTCACTGAGACACTTTGATGGACAACTCATTCAATGTATTTGGAGTGTAGGAAAGGTGTGATGGTATATTTTAGTTTTTTGGAACTATTCAACCCTTGGAGTAAGAAGACTGGGAGCTTTCATCGCCATCGTAGACAAGAATAGCATTTAAAATTTTTGTTGGTCTTAATCACCATAACTGTACTTATTCAGTTATGCGGTCTGTGAAGGTACTTGAACATTTCTAATTTCACTGATGGCTTTGCAGAAGCAAAAGTAAGAATGGCCTAATTTCTTGTGTGCTTTGGCCAGGATTGTTCGTACAGGTTTTGGCCAGTTGGAAATGTATTGTCAGTGTATTGTGAGTTATTTCTGAAATAACCAATGCAACCAATACGCTCAACTTTAGACTTTTAAAATGACATAACATTTTTTGAGCTACTAAAAATATAACAATCTTGACAAGTCAGGATTAAAATGGAAAGTATGTTCGAAGGTACAAAGGTTGATATAATAAACTGGTACATAAATCACCAAGCTAATGAATAAGAACAAGCTCCAGGTCTGAGTGTGTGTGTTTCAGGGTCTGCACAGAGATGTTGAAACAAGAATGTCAGATCACCTGAGCCTTTTCTGTGGTATTGAAGATCAATTGTGCGGTTGTTTCCTGGGAAACGGTTGTCGTTTGCTGGAGAAAAATGCACACAAAAATGCTTGTAAGTGCTGCTGATCCAATGGGCAGAACTGTCACACTAAGAAAAGCAACAAGATTATTTTTAAGACTAAAATGATGTGGTATTAGAACCAAATATAACACATATGAGTTGGGTTTCAAACTAACCTTAGGGAGTCAAATGCATGACGAGGCCCCTTCTTCCTGAATTTGTACCTCTATTCTCCTCTATTTTCTTTTGTGGCGCTATGTCTGCTGCGGTCTCTGTGTTAATAAGAACCAGCCCCTTCGAGCAATATATAACCCCACTAACTACACAACTACCTCTGATCTTAGAGTAGTAAACATTGTCACTGCGGCTGAGTCTAACCACTTTACAGCTGCAGTACAGCCCCATGGTATGATAACCTGTGATGTAAAAAGAAGAGGGGGGAAAAAAGGAAGCAAATAATAAGATAAAACACCCCTGAACTCAGTCCTGGGGTCTCCCTCGCTCTACTTACCTACTGGAGAGAAGAACTGCATACCTTCTGGGACTTTTTTATCAGTTTCCATTCACACTTCTGATAGGATCATTGGAGGGATAAAATAGCTGGCCAGCAGTTGGTATACAAGTCAAAATTGTGTTGAATTACCTCCCTCACACATTGTCTTTAGAAAGCACAAACTTCTGTCTTGAACCCTGTCTTTGCTTAGTCTCCTTTTTTTATATAGATTAAAATAATATTGTGGTGACCAGTTCAGGGTAAAATTGTGTTGTTTTTTTTTTCCATTTTCCAAATGATTTTTCTAATTTGAAATAGTAAGACTTTGTCTTGAAACAGTCTCCTTGCTTTTATTTATTGTACCGCGTAATGTAATACTTTGATTATGACAAACCCTTTTATAGGCCATGTTTTAATATTAAACATGCTGATATTAATGTGTACATAGCCACAGGAATGCTTTATATTGACATCTTGACATCAGATGGTTTCTTGACTTTCTTATGCCTTTTTGAAAAACATTTCAGATATGTTATTTCAGATACTCCCTGTGGATTTTTTTTTATCTCACTTCATTTTTTAAGTATTTTCCTCTAATTCTTTTTCTTTGGGCTGTTACTGATGTCTAGTATGAACAAAATTATGTCTTTAATACTCACTTTACCTGTTTTAAAGAATTGTATTTATATTGTGTCCAATAGTTCCCATGGCTTTGGCCAAAGTCTACGTGTCTCTTCTTTGTTACTTTCTCCCAGGCCTCTGGTTTGTAGGGTTTATGCCTAGAAGCACTGAAGTGTTTGAAACCTTCTGAATTGGTTCTAACGACCTGCTCTGACTGCAACATCTCTGTGTAGATTAAACTTTATTGGAGCTGGGGGGCAGAGGGAAGCATAGTTGACAGGATTAGTAAGCTATTGAAGTCACTTGAGCTTAAGTGACTTAAAATACAAAAGAGAATAATTCAGACTGTTATTTAACAGATATGCCTTTTTGTTCTTGCTTTTCTTCTGCCCAGCTCAGATAAAGCGTACCGTCTACCCTTCTTATATCCGGAGAGAATTTATTGGCGGAGATGGTGTTTACCGCTGTAATTAGGTGTATTTGATAATTACAGGCATTTTTTTATTATTATTAAGTTTATTAAGTTTTGTTTTGTTATGGTCAGGCAGTGGGAAAACTGGCTTTGTTGACATAGTCTGAGACACCTGTCTCTTCTTGGAGAATCTATGCTCAGATTGTCTTCCAGCTGGAGCCAGGTTCAGGCATGCCCTGATGCACAAAAAAAAGCAGGTCGTGCTTTACTTTGGATCCAAGGTTAGTCTTCAAAGATTCAGTCTCTTACTCGTCCAGCGAGATCAAGGCTTTCAGGTCCCTCCTGTGCTGCAACATAGCTGCAAAAGAGACAGAGCAGTGCTCCGTGTTGGGTTTTATATCTATCACTATCTGTGTGAAAACCCGTCTTTCCTTAGAGATCATGATGCAATTGGGCTATTCCTGAGGATTCTGGGGCACAGAGATCTTTACCAGTTTCTTTGTGGTTTAGGTACAGTTTAATTCTTTGTCCTCCATGTGGCTGAGGTAAAGCCAGAACAACATTAACATAAAGTTATATTGCATACCTCTGATGTGGAGAAAAAAAAATAACATAAATGGTTTAATAAAAGTGTTTGCAGTGTGCATTTGTATTCAGCTTCTTATTGCACACTTCGTAGGAGGATCTATCTGCAAGTATGTTGGTTCGTCTCCCTACCAGCTTCGCAAAATAACTTAAGTTTAGTCAGACTGTAAAGTATATGTAGGACATTTTCTGCAATTCCACAGATTGATTTAGATCTGCAATTTGACTTGGTAAATCTCCCACACTTTGCTAAGTCAGCTTCTCAACATACAATTAAGTTCTACAGAATTCTGGTGGTGAATAAAGTCTGTTGAAGCTGCGACACATCTAAAAGTTGCAGGACACTGACCCTCTCGGATCTAAAAAATTGACATCTGTGATCTAAATAATTCCTTAGTATCTGTGGTTGTTACAGTACAGGGTCACTGCAACAAAGAAAGCTCATCATCTTCCCCAGCTTCTAGACTTTAGCAGGTTCCATCCATTTTCCCAACAACTCTCACCAGGTTCCCTGCCTCTGCAAGGAACAGAATCATGAAGGCCAGATTTGTGGGGTCGAGGATTGATACTTTATCTGTACTTCAGCAGATTGTCTCACTTGAGGTTTGGATCCCGGCAGCTCCTCCAAAGTTACCATGCACTTCTTGGCAGTTTCTCTGAATAATGTTCCATGCCTAGTCATATCTTGTTTGCTTCGTAGCTATGCTGTTTCCATGCTCTGATGATGGATTGAACAGAGCTTTGTAACATGCTCAGAGCTTTGGACATTGTTTGAAAACATAAGCCTATTTTAAACTTTTCTTCGACATTTTCCCTGACCTGTCTGTTGTATTACTTAGTCTTCCCGATGTCATTTGTTCATTGTTTTCTAAGGAATTTTCTATAGCCTTCACCGAACAACTGTATTTTATACTATGATTTAATGTGTTTAAAAATTATGTGGCTTGTACGGGAACCCTGGATTTCATTAAGGGGTGTCAGGGTAAGGACAAAGGGGATAATTATAAATGATTGATTATAAACAACAAAATGATTGTAAACAACAAAACCACAGTTTTGTTGTTTTATTTTCAATTCACAATGATGCAATACATTGTTTCCACTAATATATACTGAAGTTTGTGCTTCTCACATGATGAAATGCAAAAAAAAAAAAAAAAAGGTTGATGCTTTGATTTTTGTTAAGATGCGCCACATTCACAAAGGTATGCCCATTTCCCTGTGCCAGTGTGCACTTACATTTGTATATATCTGTGCTGACAGGAAGAACGGCTGGCTCCCGCCTGCAGTCTGGCAGTTGTATACCCAAGCATGCTGTCATCACCATCAGTCTCCTGGCTCCTCGCTGCGCTACATCCCCCGTAGGGCAGTTCTCTACTGCCCCGGCAATGATGAACGCAAATTGAAGAAACTGGCCTTGCTGGATGTCGACTGCGCCGTTCTGGACTGTGAGGATGGCGTGGCCCTCACCAAAAAGGTACAAATAAAATTAAAAAAAAACCCACCTATTGTGCCTTGCATAAATGAAAATCAGCTTGCCATAAACGCTATAGCAGGGAACACACAGACGCATGCTTTATTTTGTGATCTTGACTGATTTTAATTCCACCTCCCTCCGCCAGACAGGTGCTTGCTCTTAATTACTGAAAAGGAAAACTACCTAAGTGAGATGTTCAAAACGAGCACATTTCACCCCATTGTGGTTGCAGAAAAGCCCCGGGAGCCCCCCATCAGCCTTTTAAAGCAAGGTGACCACGTCCCACTGGGTGAGCAGTGGGAAAGCGCTAGATGCAGCAGGTTAAAAGCATTCTCCTCCTGCCCACTCAACCTCCCCATTGGCCCGGCTGAACTGCCCATGAAATTGCGATTGGAGCACAGGATAAAGAAGGAGCCCGGGCAAAAAGTTAAACAACAAAGGTTTTTAAGTCATGATAATAAAGATGATTGATATGGCTGGAGGCTGTTCCTGTAGTGGACAAAGACAATAAGCCGATGGCCTGTGTGACTGACAGGCTAGAAACTGTGACCCTGCGCTGGTGGATCTCAGATCTTCTGTCTTTTTAATGTGTTGAAGGGGGGAAACGTGGAGAAGAATGCAGCACACAAGGCGCCATGCAGGCTGGTGGAAAAAGTCTGAGGCTGGACTTCTACCAAAACTGCTCAGCTCTAACTGACATATTTCGCACACTTGCCCACACCAGCCAATCACTGTATATCTGACTGGATTTGGTGGGAATTATTTTATATTTTGAATAAGACGTAAATGATTTTTCTGAAAAGCCTTTTTTTTTTTTTCCATGTCAGCGATTTGCTAGTGGGTTGCACTTGTCACCCTGACATGTGCTGTTGCAACTGAAGACTAAAATGCATTAGCAACAGGGTAGAACCATTCCTTTTAAGATGGAAAATAATGTTACTCAGCAGGTTTACCACTTTGTCTTCCACATGCGGCCCTCTGAGTAATGCACATCAAAATACCAACACTAACTTCAGGAAAATTGCATTCTACATCAGTGGTTTTTCTACTCAATAATCCCATTACTTTCTCCTTTTCTCATATTTTTAAACATTAGCACAGCACAGGTTTTCCACCACATTGCTATTCAACGTGTTAGCTTTCAGCTCAGTGTGGAATGCTTCTAAGCTACAGTGTGTTTTCTTTGTTGTGCTGTAATTTGCTCCATAAATAAATTTGCCTTCCCCACTGCCTTTCTTCCAATACCTTCACGGTATTGACATCCTTTTTTTTTTTTTTCCTGGAAGAATTAGATGTGAATAGTTGTTGCTTTATAGCTTTTCATCTAAAATCAGTACCTTATTTGGGCATCATATTGGTTTTGAATATCAGAGATTTGAATTTCAAGACATTTATTTTTTTCCTATTTCCTAGGATTTTTGCAGAGGATTTATAGGCCGTAAACTGCATCCATTTTCCAGATTTTCTTAATTTTGTTAGTCATGAAACATTTAGTTTTCAGCCATATTTAAACGTTCATGTTTTAAACACTTTTTTATTTAACTATGGAAAAGGCAAATATCACATTTTTTGACAGGAACGCCTAAAATATGTATAATTGTTTCATCTAAATGAATAGAAATCATTGTTTTTTTAAATGAGTTAATCAATTTAAAATGAACTTTTCTGATCTCGCCAAATGGATTGTGACATAATAACCTGCAGTGCTTAAAGAACATATTCAACCCCTTCATTTTCCACACATCCTCATCAGGCTGATGCTTTTTACCTGTCAAATCAGACATTTCACTTAGTGTTTTGTAGTTTTGATCAGTCCCTCCAGGATTTTGATTGCTCTTTAGATATTTTGCAATCAAAATCATAGATTTTTCCACTTTAAAAACATTTGGAAGATATTTTGAGATACTTTTTCCATATTCTCAGGAGGTTTAAAGTGACTTTAAATATGTTACAGAATGAAGACGTTTAGAATCATGTGGTACTTTTATTGTTGTAAATGGCAGCTCTGTTTTTTTTCCCCCCATGTGAAGACTTTTTTCTCTTTTCTCATGTGTCAGTTTGAGGTCTTGGACCAATTCAATTTTTGAGGATAAATTTTCAGAAAACCGTGATGGAAACATACCTAAAGTCTGTCTTTGTTTGGAATTTATATAATAAAAGCATGGTGCACCACTAAAGTTTGAAACATTTTCTTAGATATCCATGTTTTTCTACCTAAAAACAGGAAAAAACAATGTCCTCAGTCCCTCCTCTCTAGACCTTTTTAAAATTGAACAAGTTTTGGCACATTTTGTTCCATATTTGGATTGGATGGGTGTCTTTAGTAAATTTTGATGACAATTATTCATGAAATTTAATGCAAAGTATACTTTTTACTAAGATCAAATGTTGTTAAATACACTTTCTCCTTATCTGTGCAGACATATTTTGCTGGAAGATTTCCAAACATACCTCATAACATCTTTTATTAAGCCAATGGATCCCACTGATCAGTAAATGAATGGGAGTTCTAGCCATTACAATCTACGTTGCTGTGTGTGTATTTGTGCGGACAGTGTTACAGTGCCTAGCCTCGTTGCGATTATATTCACCATGACAACCACACAATCTGCTCTGTGGGTTCGGCAAGGCTCGCAAGGCCCTCAACAATGACTCAAAGTCTCGTAATGCATGTCTAATGGAAGAAAAGCATAGGCCTGGCTTTTTAAATGTCATCTTTAAGCAGTGTTTAGATGAAGGCCACAATGGGCTGGGTGAAGTGTGAATTTAGTCTCTGCGTATGCATGGATGTGCTTTAAATAGGGCTGCTGCTGCTGCTGCTGCTGACCACCACCGTTTTATTATACGTCCACTAATGTATTCAGTTATTACTCGTCACCTTCTCCTGAAAAGGAAGTTTATGAATCTAAGCAAAAAAAGTACATGATCGGCCCTCCCCCACTCTACTGGAAGTTGAAATCTGGAATATTGTGTGGTAATTGCCACTTTGACTCATGAAATGTCTGCGCTTCACATTGGCTGAAATAATGAGTGTTCAAGAGGGTAGAGAGGTAAGACAAGGGAGTAAAGGGTAGCAGCCGGAGTTTGCTAACTGTCACTGTGGACCTGATGGGGAGGGTGGGGAGGAGAAGGAGGAAGATAAGGAGGAGGAGGAGGAGGAGGAAGAGGAGAAAAGGAAGACAGGGCAAGACAAGGCTGACTGCTCTAACACTTTTACACATATCATCATATCTGTATGATCAGTGGGGTGGAGGAATAAGGAGGGCAGGTTAAAACCCTGGAGCGGAACTGACGGCTACACCTGTCCTCTCTCCTCCTCTCTCCCTTGCCGTCTTGTTCTCTATATTGCCTGTCTCCCCCTCTTTAGTGTCCTTAGGGTTACGATTGTTTATCTCTCCCTCCCCCCCATGTTCCCTCTCTGTCTCGTAGTGCCCTTTGGTCCAGTCTTCCTCCTGGCGTTCTTCTTTCCCCTTCTCCTTTCCCCACATGGGTCCCTCCATCCTCGACGACTCCCCCCTGCCGCAGAGAGTCTCTCCTAATCCCTGGAAGTTTGGAACTAATGAACTAACTGCTGAGCCGCTGCCACGGAGCTTGGTCCCAAACTATACTGTACTTCACACTCGATTTCCTCTCCAGATGGCATAGTGGCGCGGCCGACACGACGGGGAGCGCCTCTCACACACCGGCAAACGCACACAAGACGGGCACAATAGAAACATGCGCACATGTCTGTATGTGCTAATGTCCGCACGCTCCGGCACACACACAGACATTTGCGCATAAAAAGCAGAATTGGTAAGAATAAAACAGAGATGGAGAGAACTGCCTGCAGTTCAATTTAGGTACATTCAGACAACAAGCAGCACCCTGAACCCAGTGTCCCCCTGGGTTTTCACCCCGGGTTTGCTACATTTCCTTGGAGACCCTGAGCTATTGGGTAGATACGGCAAATTAACTTCGCTGAAGTGTGAAACGTAGCTGCTTAGTGAAGTGTCAGTGCTCCAGCAGTGGGCACTCAGCAGCTTTTAAAGCTTTGAAATCAGGAAGTGTGCTTCAGTTGTAGTAATGTAGATTTTTATCATGTAAATAACAAAACATGAACCAAGATATGAGGTTAACAAATGACGCCTGCAGGATTTTGTAAAATTAATTTGCAAAGAAATTAAAACAGATGCCGATATTTAGAACTTAGCGGTCTATTGCTGATATTTTAAGCTGATACTGTTTGTTTTATTTTGCAGATGTGATAGTGATTATTTCTTGTCACATTTCGCCTCTGATTTGAGCTGAGTGAACCAGCAGCTTCCTTTCCCTTCAGTGGTTCTATTCATGTTGTGGTGGAGTCATCTGTAGTGGCTACAGATTATTGTCATACTTAAAATACCTTTTCTCAGTCAAAAAAGTTGAAGACCCTCAATATTTTTTTTCATTCCTCGATATTTATACATAAATTCACATAATCTTCTCTTATTTTTTTCTCATATAACAGTATTCTTAGTTTGATGATATTTCCCTTCTGAAGCCACAAGGACATCACAGAGGGGATGAGTTTGGTCATTGCATAGTGCTTAACTTATTAGCCAAAATATGACTGTAAATACAAAGTTTTTCTTCCCTAATATTCAAACAATGGCTTTATTTCTGATGCCCACTGCCAGCATCATATTGCTAGTAGTAATGTAACCAAGACAAGTGTACACATAAGTAAAAAATCAGAGAATACGCAATCAGGCATAACTTTTCTGCATTACTTGCTGAATATTCTGTGTCCCTCCTTAACCATACTCTTGCTGGAATGAGTCCTGTAGTGGTGGGTGGTCAGAGGGGGTTTGAACTGGTCTCTTCTGTGATTCTATATGCCCAATTGGACCATTTACCGGTGGTCTGGAGCGGATTCTCTCATGCCTCCATTAAAAGCGGTTGAATGACAAACAGGTCATTCTTGTATGGATTACATTATTACAGTCTATTACCTTTGTCTGATTGTCAGTCAGCGTGAG